GCTCACAATGGCTCCACCTTGGCCATACCCATTAGTGAGGGGGGTGTTCCCTTAATGAGCTATTCCCCTGCTTGGCTGGCGCCGAGCTAGCCACACCTGTTTGCCATCAGGGCTGTCTGGGCCCAGCCAGAGTGGCTCAGTTGCAGGTGGTAGGGCTGAATGAGGGGTGGGCTGGGCTGGACTCGGCTCAGCTCCTTTTGCTTTGTGCTGTGTGCTTGGGGGGCGGAGGTGAGGGAGTTTCTTACACGCCTGTTCCCTGCATATTTTTCTCTTCTTTCTAAGCAGGGGGAGGACTCTGATTTCTTTTTTTGTTGTTCAAAAGGAGTAATAAGGGAACTTGAGGAGCACCCCGTCTTTTCTAACTTTCCCCTGGAGTAATGAGGAGCCTGTCAGGCTCTGAGGTACTGTTCTGATGACCCTGAGGGGCCAGTGTGATAAGAACTGGGCCACATGGCAAGTACCAAGGGTAGAGCCCTTTCTGCCTCTGGGCCCCATAGTATTTGGAGAGAATCATGTCCTTTGCTTTAGAGCCCACAGGCAGGACTGGGGGGCCCTTCCTTAAAGGGGCCTCTTGCATTCATGAATCTGAAGGAAGTTTTGATTTGGTTGAAAAAAATCTCATTCCTTTTTATGACCTGGACATAATTGGCTCTTTTCTATTGGCCATCAGTGATGTCATTCCGACCCTCATAAAGAAGGGGAAATCACACCTGTGGACTTGGTGCATAAAATTTCATTGGGCAACAGTAATAAGCATGACCAGATGATGTTTGGGCAGTTGGGGAGCTTTGTGCCCAGTGAATCCAGCTGCATGGAGACCTGGGCACCATAAACCTGCCTGCACGTTCATGCCCGCAGGCTAGTCCAGGGCCCACTGCCAGTGGCTCTTGGGATCAGTATCTTGTAGGAACTTACAGCATTCAGACCCTTTGTGCCAGGGGGACTTTTGCCCTTTTCCTTTCCAAGTTGGTGGAACCATGTACCCACTGACCCTAGGCTTAGGTTCCTGAGAACCTTGGGCTGGCCAGTTAGCTCAGCTGGTTGGAGAGCAGCCTTGTAACACCAGGGTCATGTGTTTGGATCCCTGTACTGGCAAGCTACCAAGAGGGAAAAAAAAAAAAAAAAACATTTTAAAAAACCCAAAAAACCTTGAACCCATGTGTGACCTTCGGCAGTGACCACCATGCTACCTGCTTCTAAGCCCATACGCTTTGCCTTCCCAGGGACTGTAAAGAGCTCTGAGTGCATCTATGTGATTGAGCGAATCTTTTTTCTTCTCCGAGCCTCAGTTTCCTCTTTTGTGTAGGGGCTGATGACCACTCTAACCCGTCTTCCTCACAGTGTTAATCTCTGGGTGCTTTCTAAGCGGGGGTAAGGTTGTGTGATAAGAACATGTATATGTTTTCCTATGAAGCACCTGGAAGTTCAAGTTCTGGCATTTGGCTTCATGTTTCTTATGAAGATGGGGCTGGACCCTGATATATTTTATTACTTGTGTCTTGGAGTCATAGGACTAGGACCACCCAGAGGATAACTCAAACACCTGAATGGCTGTGAGTGAGTCTGCAAACTGCATGTGTACCTGCAAGTGACTAGAGCCCTTGGGTGAGAATTATAGTCTCCATTCCCCATGTACTTTGAACAGATATGAAGTATAGCCTGGCACTCAGGATTGCTGCTGACCTATATCTAAGGCTGAGTATTCAGCCTGGCAATCTGTCTGTCTGGTCTGTCCTCATTGTAACCCCTCTCATAGAGGTCCTCCTCCGAAAGGAGCAGGCAGGATCCTATTGACCTGGACCCTTCCTAACTGGGTAGAAATATCTACAGCTGTCCTTTACCCTTGAAATACTTCTGAAGAGGGAGCCCCTTCCTCCCCCAGGGCTAGCCGGAGCCAATAGGACTCCTGACTTGTGTCAACTAAGAGAATCAGGAGGTGCTGTGTTGGCTAATGGAGAGTGAGATAGGGGCTCCCTGCCTTTTGCTGGCCAGTCCAACTGACCTGTTCCTTTGCAGATTCTGCTGCTTCTAATGGCCCCCTTCATTCACAGACTTTAATGTGACTTCTAAAATAGCTGAGCTTAGCAAGCATTTTCACAAATACCAAGGATAAGGAACATGAAAGAAAAATTGAAGGAAATAAAAGTTTTCAGCCAGATTACAGTTCTGCTTCTTAGGCAACCATTCTAGCTCCTATGGCTCCGTTTCATCCTTAAAAACCTTGCCTAATTTCCTCATATTCTTGGTCCTTGGTCCCTGGTCCCACATGGGCACATTTATCTGGATAGTCTGTCATCATCTTGGCCTCAGCCAGAATTTTCCTTCCAGGAAACTGACTGGTTATAGTTAATGTCATTGTGCCATCTAAATGTTTGAAAGGAACCTGCCCCTCAGGTAGGATATCTTGGGTCTTATAAAAGTAAAACCTTACCGTACTGCCTGAAACATGGGAATCAACTTCCTGTTAGTATCTGTCAAATATTTGAAGGGTAATTGGACGGAAGGCTGGACTGCCCTTGAACTTTCTGGGGTTGAGTCATTTCAACTGGATTCTCATAGCCAAACTTCCTAAAAAAAAAGGAGTTTGCACTTGTGATCTCTACTTTCTTATCTCTCACTCACTCTTCAGCATTTTATAGGCTGCCTTCTGCCCCCCCCCCCCTTAGCCACTGATGCCCCTCTCACCAAGATCACTTTGGATCACCTCATTCCCAAATCCATTGGGTTTTTTTCAGCTCTCACCTTGCTTGACCACTCTGTGGCAATTGACACTAAGGACCTGCATTTTAAGCTCCAAAATCAGTTATGTATTCCAGAAGAGGAAGCATGCTTTTACACAGTTTAGGTTGCTCACAGGTAATGTGAAGTAGGGTCAAAAGAACAAGTGTGACCTTGGGTGTCTGATGCCCTGAAAAAGGTCTGGGGCCCTGTTCCCTGGGAATGGGGGTGGGTAGGTGGGTGAGTCCCGACTTACAGCATATTGGCGCTTGAGGAACTCTTGAAATTTCTGAGGGTATGTGGCCTGGAGAAGGGAACTCTGGGGGAAGCTTTCTGGGCCCTCAGATCTTGAAGGGTTATGCAGGGAGAGATGGAAGTCTTGTTCTCTCTAGTTTCTAAAGACTTACCTTGGACTCATGGGTGGAAGTTATGGGGAGATAGATTTTAGTTTAGTATTTAAGGAAGGATGTTCTAAGAATTGAGTCTAAAATTGGAGCAGGCAGCTGTATGAAGTAGTGAGTTCCTTGTGTGTGATGATGGTCTGGTAGAAGTGGCCTGGTTTCATTCTAGCTTAGTAAAATTTGCAAGACAGTAGCATGGAAATAAAATAAACAACAAAAAAGAACAAGACATTAGCCTGGGCCCTCTGCTAATCTCACTCTATACTCTGCCCAAGTATCTTATCTACTCTCATGGCCTTAACTTTACTTAGATTACATAAAGATTCAGCAAACTATATCCTGAGATCAGACCTCTCTTTAAAACTGGATATCCAGCTGCCTCTGAGACATCATTCTGCTGCCACATGTCTCCTAGGCACCTCAAATTCAGCAGACATTGAGCGCTTACTGTGTTCTAGGCATGTATCTAAAACTGCATTCCCAAACTTCTACCTCCTTCCTTAGTCCTCGTGGACTAAGGGTGGGGCAGTGGGAACAATCTGCTCCAGTTTGGGCACTAAGTGGAGGGTACACTATACATGGAGAATTTAAACGATAATAAAATTGATTAAATGCTGGCCTGCTCTAGATGTCAAATATGCTCTCTCTGCCTCTGTCTCCTTCTTTATGTCTATCTTAGTGGATAGCATGAAGCTAGCCAAGCCACAAATCTTTGAATTGGGCTCTACTGCTTTCTCTCATTGGGCCCACATCCCATTTGGTTACCAGTACCTCCTTTATATCTCTGTGTCTGTTCTTTGATCACCGTCTCTACCACTGCTGTCTCTAGTCTCTTGTCTACTGCTCTGCTTTGTTAGTCTATTGTTTTGGCTGCCCCTAGAATAATCTTGGTAAATCACAACTCTTCAGAGGTTCTCCATTGCCTGTGGCCAGCCTTTCTCTTAGGAAGAAAACTCTATGGTCTTTCTACTATAGTATTTTCTTCCTCCATCCTTCCATGTGGCCCCATACTCCAACTTAAGGCTCTTTTTATCTACTTCTTTTATTGTTCATTTCTCCAAATAAACTGAGCCCTTTATGGACAGGGATTAAGTCTTACTTTTTGAGTCCTAAGTTCCTGACCCTCATTAGACATCAGTACATCCGTTTGGTTGAATGGATTTGTGTAGGTAAAATGTCATCATCAGCTAGAGGGGGAGACAGTTGGTCAACTGTAATTTAAAGACAAAAAGAGAAGAACAGTACCTTGGTTTAAGTTCTGACCTTCTCTTACCTTTTTGCATGGTCTCTTCTCTATCTGAAAAAAAACCTTTAGCTAGAAGTTTAAATGTGAGCTGAAGCCCCTGCCCATCTATCTCTAAGTCATGTGCTCTTTCTTTCTCTTCTCTTGTCTCTTTGTCTCTCTGCTGAAACAAAACAACAATAATTGGAAAGAACATAGGCTTTGGAGTCAGACAGAACTGGGTTTGGTTCTCAATACTATCATTTTTAGCTGTGGGACCTTAGGTAACCTCTCTGAATCTTGTTTTCTCGTCTGTAAAATGTAGACAACAGTACCTACCTCACACATTGCTTTGAAAATTAAGTATGAAAATGTGAATAAGGTACTTAGCATACTGTAGGCCATTAGAAAGCAGTAGCTGTTGATATTATTTTGAATAGTCTCCAGACTCTCACATTTGGATCTGAGGCCTGGATCTGGAGCCCAGTGTCCATGGTGCTGGAGGTGGGGTCCCTTTCTTGGGGTGGAGTGGGACCCATGGCTAATGGGTTGGCTTTTTGAGGTCTATTGTCCTGTAGACTCTGTTGGACTTCCTAGCTTAAGACTCCATACCTGGGACATGGGTTTGCCCAACTTGTTCTCTCTTCCCTTTCTTGTAGGCTCCCAGGCCAGTGCCAGTACTTGGGCTTGCCAGTGGCGGATTACTTCAAGCAGTGGATTAATCTGAAAAAGGTACTGTGTCTGAGCCCCACCCAGGTGCTTCCTCTGGTTCTCCTGTGCCTCTCCTGTGTCTCTGTTCTCTTTCCTTTTCTTTTTGTACTTCTCTTTTCTCAACATCCCTCCTTCCTCTTCCCTAGCTAAGATGCACTGAAATGTTATGTTTATTTCTGGGAGTGGGAAACTGCTTGGGTACCAGGCGGCTGGGTGGAATATGATGCTGCCCTAGTTGGTGTCACCTAGACATGCAATGTAGTCCCAGTTAAGGGGATTTTCTAGGGTTCTCACTCAGAGCTGAATCTCTAGACTAAGCTGCATAGCCTCTAGGAAAGATGTGCTAGCTGAACCTCTGGGAAAGTATTCTCCTTTGATGTCATGATAAGTGAGGCCTCTGGCCCTCTTGACTGGCCCTGGTATCTCCTTCTGCTTGGGAGGTAGAGTTCATCAAGCTTTGGTCCTGCTTAGCCCAAGCAGAGCCTTGCTCCTGTGAGAAAGGGCCATGGAAACTAGAGCCCAATTCCCTTTGGGCCTGATGGAGGAGACTGCCACTCATGCAGCACCAAGCACCTGGGGAGTTGGTGCTGAGGCTGTGGGCTGGGAAGGACCCTGTGTACCTGGGATAGTGGGCCCTGGCAGAGAATGAATTACCCAGAAAACTGTACTTTTCTAGTGTGTGCTTCCTAGGTAACCAGAGGAAAGGATGTATAGGAATGGACTTCCCAGATCCCTGCTCTGGAGGGATCCTTGCTCTAAGGGGCCCATCCACTGGGGAGACTCACCCCCATAAGTCATTCTGATATAAGGACAACAGCCTCATGCCACTGGTCAGCTGAGTAATCCTGGGAAACTCAGAGAAGGGAAAACACACCAGGGGTCAAGTTATGGGCGCCCAGGGGACTCAGAGAAGAGAGAGGTCTTTGCAGGGGTCAGGCTATGTATTGTGAGGATTTAGGTCCTGAACTGGGCATTCAAAGAAGGCAGAATGTGGATATGAGGAGTAGAGAATGCTTTCTAGGCAGGGAAAAGCAGCATACTTTCAGTTCGTGTGTCGGCTAGAGCTAAGCGAGCATGTGGAAGAACAGTGAAGGAAAAAGTTTTGTTAAGTATTTGTGCCACACTGAGAATGACCTTGGACTTAGTTCCTTGCTACACGTGGCACATTTGTGAACTCCTTTGCTTTCCACTAGTGTACAGGTCTTTTGTACTCTGTCTTGTTTGTACTTTGACCTCTACCTCCCTCTCCTGCTGACCTCCAGGCAACTAAGCAACTGCAACTTAGTACTTCTCATCTTTGGCTGAGGAGGCTTGGCTGTGTCACTTCCCTCTGTCTGAAATGTTCCCCAGTTTTCTTCATCAGGGATATTCTCTCTCCTTGAAGATTCAACTTCTATTGATATCACTTCTGTTGATAAGCTCAGCAGCCGGTCTCTTGCCTCAAGGATCCTTGGCACTTGGGACATATTGGTGATCTTAGTTAAAACTGAGTCCACGTGTGTTTCTTTCCAGACATGTCCATCTGGAGCAAAGAGACTGAGTCTGGTTCCTTTCTGTGTTCCCAGTGGCTAGACCAGGGCTGGGTACAGAGTGTGTGCTTAGTGAATAATTCCTGACTGACTCATCTTTGAGAACTAGCTCCATGGAGGCCTTCTGACACAGGGCTTGGCGGGGCTAGGCATGTAGGTGTGGCTGGGTGTGCGCTCCTGGAAGACAGCATGCCAGCTGTCAGAGCACATCTAAGGCTGCTTGCTGGCCTCAGCAAATGCAATGTGAAGGCCCGGCCAGGCGAGGCGGGCGCTGACCATGAACAATTACTCTGTGAAGTTCACTAGACTTTTTGGTGTATGGATAGCTCCCTGCCTCTAGGTTCCCTAGCAGAAAGGCAGGAAAGCAGCCGACCCATGTGGTAACATTGCCACTCAAGGCCACCTTGGTGCTGCTGGGCCCAAGGGTGAGAATGGAGACAGGCTGTCCTGAGCCTGTTCCACTTGGTTCTCTACCAGACTGTGCTGAGTTGTAGAGGGAGGGAATGGGTGCAAGGGGAAACTGAGGACTTCTGTTCCCAGTGGCCTTGTGATTTCCTCTCAGGAGGTAAACTGAGCAGGTCTGAGAAAAGCAAGGGTTCTAACTCTTTCCTTTCTGCTTTCCAGCCACATCATGCTCCAGGTCTGCTTAAGGGCCCAGCAGGAGAGATGGCTTCACTCTGGACTTTAGCTCAGTCCTTCCCAGCAACCATTCAAGAAAGGGAGATTGCAGAGACCTAAAGGCACAGGGGCATAGTAATCTTTCTGACTTTTATGCTGTGTGACTTAGTGCAGGCTGCAGCAAGATTCCTGCTCTCTTAAAAAGAGTAATGATAAAGGGCTGGCCAGTTAGTTCACTTTAGGTTAGAATGTGGTGCTGATAACACCAAGGTCAAGGGTTCGGATCCCCTTACCGGCCAGCTGCCCCCAAAAAAAGTAATGATAAAAGCAAAGCCAGAGAGGTCATTGCCAGGATTGCAGGAGTATTACGTAAAAGCCTAACTGCATGGCTTGTTTCTCGCTGTGTGACCCAGAGTCTGGCTATCTACATGATCCTCTCCTATCCTTCGTGTAACTTTGTCTTTCTTCCTTCTCCTTTCCTCCTCAACTCCCCTAGTGGAGATTTGCCCCATGAAAAAAGTGGGTCCTGGCCTGTTTGACCACCTGAGACCTGGCTAGTGAGTGAGCAGTTGGGACTGAATTCACCATCCCCATTTCCTGAGGCCTCTAATCTGAAAAGAGGCAAAATGTTGTCTTTCAGTTGCCCTCTTTTCTCCAGAAATGTGTGGGTTGCATCAGGAAAGAGCAGCTTTTCAATGGCTAGGTTTACCCATCTTCCGCCTCCACCTACTTCCCCTGTAGCAGAGTGGAGCAAGCCAGTGTTTGCTGACATTTGGAATGTCATTGAATAATCTTATACTCTTACTGAGCTGTCAGCTTAGAGAAGACTTGGGGCCCTGCTCCCAGCTCCCTCCAAGGGGTCAAAGCTGTCACTTAGGGGCCAGAAGAATACAAACATACACACACATGTATGCACATGCATAAATATACACCTGTGTGCTCATGTGAATGAATACACCCAAGTGCGTATACTCAAAATTGTATGTCCCACGTCCGTATGTGCATACATTTGTATGTACGTAGTAGTCACATAAACATAGTCACCTGCAGAAATATTTGGAGATATACACAGACATGAATGTGTTTAAACATACATATTTACAAAGTGTAAAGACAAATGCATGTGTATAAACATATACATCTTTGTCAGTAAATAAATATTCTCTACCTTTTGTGTGCCAGGTACTGTGCTAGGCCCTGAGGATATAACAGAAAAGATGGGTGCTGAATAAATAATTTCAGTTGCATTGAGTAACATGAACCAGTACAGTTTTGGATCATTTAATAAGGAAACTGACTTCATGGGGTGGGGTCGGAGAACAGTTCCCTGAGGAAGGAGGTCTAAGCTGAGACCAAAAAGATGAAGGAATTGGCTAAGCACAAATAGCATGTGATGAGGTTCTGAGGTGAAAAGAAGCCAGGAAGCTTCATGGAACTAGAATGCAAGTTCCAGGAGGACAGAGAATTTTTGGTTTTTATTCACTGTTCTATCCTTATTACTTTGAACAGTTCCTGGTACACAGAAGAGTAATCATCATTTGTTGAGTGCATGACTGCCTAAAGTATAGTGAATGTGGGAAGAGGAGAGTGGCATGAGATGAAGCTGAAGCTTGTAGACCACAGTTTGATTTTGACCTTTGTCTTTAGGGTAAGGGGAAACTATTAAAGGATATTAAACATATAAACATAAGAGAAGCATCATCTGATTTGCATTTTTAAGAAGCTCTCTGGCTGCAGTATAGAGAGAGCTAAGAGCAGATATGGGAGACCAGTTGCTTGTTTTTCTTAATGGGACTGCATTTGTCATTTTTGTGTGGGACAAATCATTGTGCGGGTGGCACTGCTGAACTTGCAGCATCCCCTGCCCCTGTTCATTGAATACCAACAGTGCTCCTCTCCAAGTCATTGTACAACCAAAAATGCTCTACCCCCCACTCTCCCCCACCGCAGTTCCAGTGGCCTTGATGGACAGGGGTGGGAGTGGAGAAGTACTGCCCCTGCTTGAGAACCACAGAATCAGAATTAGAACTAGAACCACAGAATTGCTGTTGTCCAAGTAAAAGATAATAGTTACTTGAATTAGACAGCACTGGAAATGTAGAGAAATGGACTGATTCTAGAGTGTTAAATGGTATAGTCAGTTCTGCTATAATGTAACATATAGGTTCCTAAAAATCACCATGTTATGGAAAGTCATGCAATTAAAATGTGATCAGGAGTACAACACTCAAAAACTTCATCAGTGACACATGAAAAGAGATAGGAATCTAATAAAAATGGTAGCATAGTTTTACACATGTTAAATGGTTAAGAAATACATAAATACTACAATAAATATGGCACTTTACCTTGAAAAAGACCCAAAGTTTGCTTGTGGATTTGGGCATGAGAAGGGTCATAGTTTGAGTTATTGTGAAGTGGTGGAAGATTTTCTGAGATCAGATGGAAAGTTGTAACTAGATGGATATGGCTTAAAACACGTGGTGATCTAAGTGGCTGGTAGATGTTTGAGGTGTGTGCATGTCTGTTTTGTATATTCCTACACAGCTCTGTTCAGCTGGGTGTAGTTTCCTGTGTTTATCTAGTGTTCCTTTTGGACAAAATCGCCCATAAACAAATGCAATATTTGCATTATGCTAAATTGTTCCCTAATACATCAATTGCATTGGAACAAATTTGTTCTTTCAAAAGGAGTGTTTTAGTAGCACTGAGTGTAATAAACAGGAAATAGTGATTTTGGCTGTGAGAGTTGAGGATGAAGGAGGAGCCCATGATAACTAACCCCAGGGTTTATGATTTAAGCAACTGGGTGAATTGGGATGAATTTACTGAAATAATGGAAGAAGTTTTAGGATTGGAAGAAAAGATAAATTC